AGTGGAAAGATTACTTCATGTGCCTAATACAAGATACTTCTGTTGACTTGTGTTAGTACAATGATTGCTTTATTTGCCATATTGTGACAGTGCTGACTCACGTTCAGTTTGCAATCCCTTATAATAACCCTTTTTTTCCTGCAGAACTGTATCCTAGCCAGTCATCCTTTTGTGTAGTGTTTGTGCATTGATTAGTCTTGCCCAAGGGTACTACTCTTCATTTTTCCTTATTGAATTGCATCCTATTTATTTCAGACCATTTCTCTAAAGGGTCATGATCGTTTTGAATTCTAACTTTGTCCTCCACAGTTCTTGCAACCCCTTACAATTTGGTATATGGTAGTGCTAGGGTGACATTGTAACCCTGATAATCCAGGAATTATACAAGGCGAGGACTTCTTAGGGTGATCTCTTTTATCAGATCAGCTGCATAGTTAGGATAGAGTTAGACAAACTTTCTAATATAAAACATTCTTCAGCACCCCGTTATGCTGTTGGTTTGATAAAAGATATATCACCCTAAGACACCCTTGCCTCTTGCATAATTTGGCATATGCAAATATTAAGTGTATTCTCTATTGCATTATCTAAGGCATTAATATCAATATTGGATAGTACTAGACCCAAAATAGTCTCTGAAGAACCCATATGTCTGCTTTGATGGTAAAGCACTAATTACTCTGGGTGTGTTCATCCAACTAATTGTGCATCCAACCTTGCAGGAGTTCTCCAAGGCTGAGCTATGTATACTTCCCTGATCCTTCTTTTTGCTCCTTTTAACAGAGAAGCAGTTCGTTTGACCTTCCCCAGTTTCCTAGAACTGCACCTGTCCTCTGTGAGCTCTCAAAGATAATTGTTCCAGCCAGGCTCCCATGTACCTCTTGAATGCATTGTAATAACCTTTGCAGCAGTGGGACATGTATAGCTCTCCTCCCCCTGCTTCACCTATGGCAGGTTCGGTGTCTTTGGGCAATATGCTTTGTAGCTGAACGACAGGATCGATTGTGTCGCTTTAGGAATAGGTTAATCAAGGACTTGTATAGACTAGCTTGCATAGGGATGATCTTGCCTTGAGCAGGGTTTTGCACTCGATGACCTCCACAGGTCCCTTTCAACCCTGCTTTTCCCTGAGTCTGTGAATTCTGTGTACCATGCTGGGTGAACTCCATCAGGCCCAGCCCCTCTGAACAGTAGCTGTCCTAACATCCTTCCAAGCACGGCGATTGTTGAAGATCTAAACTGAAAGGTTGACTTTAATTGGGATCCTTCTCAAAGAAATGATGCTAATTAACAAACATAATTTCTGCACTAATTGGATTTGAACCAATCCGTGCCTATCTATAACTCTGTGGTTGTCAACGTGCTGTATGCTGCAGCCACTCAGAACTTAAAGAGTGACAGCAGGAACAGAAGTGCAAGGGAGTAGTCTTTATTTAAGTGTTTGTGACATCTCAGTGCTACAAGCAGTAGAGGGCTTTTGAAACGCAGTTGTGCTGTTCCCATTCTAGCCGGTCGTTGGCAGCAATATACATATTGGCCACTCACAGGAGTGACATTTGCCACGCCAGCAGCCCCATGAAAGCGCTCTACAGCCATTGACAGAAGTGCAGAGAGCTTGAAAAGTGCCTGATTGCATGGCAAATAAACCCTCATGTGATGAGGGTTCAGATGAAAGCGCTCCAAAGTGGAGCACCTTCATTAACTTCTGTCTGTGCCTGTGCGCGATCAGGGCTGGGCTGGAGGGGGACAGAGCTGCAAGGCGGGAGGCGGGTGTTGGGGGCAGGATTGTCCAAGCTTCAGATCACCAAGGATAAACGTTTTGCTGAGGAATAAAACATTAATGATCTGAAGGACAGCACTACCCCTTGCTGCAAGTTTTTTCACAATGAAGGAAAGACTAAGCCTGGCTTTCCAGAGACTTCACTCTTGAGCACCTGCTACCATTTCTGCCCAAGGGGAAGAAGGGAATGCACATCAGGACCACTCCAGTTTGGTAGCATTTTATGCCCACTTTGCACAAAGTTAATGGAAAAATCAGTTCCTCCCCTCTTCCTCCCCCATCCCTGATGTGAAAAGGTCTTTATCAGCTGTACCAAGCCTGGCCATGCATGGGACATCCTCCTAGTCGCCTCTCTCCAACAAGCTGCCATGAAGGGAGACGGGATTGGGACAGAAGTGGGATCTCAGATGGGAGCTAGCTAGCATATTTAGCCTTATGGGAAAAGCTCAGGGAGTGACCTTTCTTTGGCTTTGCATCCTTAAGTAGTAACAGCTCACTTCTGCCGGCGATGTAACAAGGTATCTGTTTTATTATTACACTCATTAGTGAAGCCGATAACTTATAAAAGGGGCAACTGTCTTGAGGACATAATCTCCCACTGGAAGAACACGTGTACCAGAGGGAAGCAATTAGGAGTGCCCCTGACCCCATGAAAGCAGCACATGTGCTGCTGAACTGATCGCCAGCTGCAGGTTCCCAGCAGGCAAGTATCAGAGCCGCTAACTTGAAAGAGATGTTCATCAGGGGACTGCATGCAGCTTCCGCCATCATTATATTTTTTACTTGCTGCTCAAGAAAGTGGGAATGAAAGCCAATTTCTTGACCAATTTGAGGTTTTCCACCATTGCAATGAAAGTGGGGATGAAAGCCAATTTCTTGACCAATTTGAGGTTTTCCACCATTGCAATGGGCCAGCTAAGCTCCTGGTATTGGCTTGCCACCTTAACGGCAATGCTTTGTACTTATACCTTGTGCCTTCCTCATGAAGCACCAGACCTGTACTTAAGCCGCACAGGGAGCTAAGCAAATGCCATGATCCCCAGTGTAGAGCTGGGGAACTGGTCACATGCCCAATAGGCAAGCGGCAGAACTAGAAATCCTGGCACGTAGCTGCAGGGTCCCAGTTGCCGAACAAGTTTGGTTACCACCCAGTGAGGCAAAAGAGCAAAGTGCAAAGGGGTTGAAAGAATCAGCATGCCAGAAGAAGATTAAAAACGTGCGTCTTGGAAGGAGGATTCAGGTTCCAGAAACTTCAAGCATTTCTTTTCTGAGACTGCTAACCAGGAGGTGACGCTCAAAATACTGGGAAAAAAGATAGCAGCCCTACAGGGAGAAGGAAGCCAAGGGACCAAGTTGAAGACAGACATAAGGGTGGAGTAGGGAGGGTGGGTCAGGAAGGAGGGTTTCTTATGGCTCCTCATCCCCCAGGTTAACCACCCCCCGGGTCTCTAACCTCTGCACACTGGCCGCTGATCACTCCAAGCAGCAATCATGTCGCTCACTCTCTTGCAGGTGATGCTTTTGGACCCTTGTAAATCATAGCCTTCATTGCAGGTGAACTGGATGCTGGATCCTAACCTGGTACACAGAACCAAAGTGGGGGATTAGTACCTGAAACGCTGCCGGGGCCACCACATTTGTCACTTGCTTTCTTTGACTACACTAGTGATTCTTTAATTGGTGAACAGAGACAGTCTGCTGGCCTCTCGGGCACGGCATGGGATGAAATAAGGACATGCGCTTTTCTCGTGCATTTGCTCGTGTTGGCCTAAGGTGGTCATAGCTTAACAGTGGGCGTATATCTTTCAATACAACCTCAGCAGAATTTTACTAAATGCTGAAGTACAGAGTTTGGCCCCAAGAGATTACATGCTCCACATTTTTATACCAGAAAAATCTTCACATCACACCAAAATGTGTGAGCTTTGTTCTACAGCTTTAGATCCAGATCTGCAGCCGGCATAAATCAGTGTAGCCCCTCCAGTGACATGAAGTGACACCAATTTGCCCCAGCTGAGGATCCAGCCCTTTGTATTTAAGCACTATATTGGCAATGCCTTTTGTCTCCCCCACCCCCTTCCAGAAATCCCTTTCGTGGATTTGAAGGGAATTTGATGGTTTCAGGTTAAACTGATAGGCATATTTTAGGGAACAAAACAGCCATCGACAGAGAAATAAGATTAAATATTGATCTGCTGTTGCTAACAGTGGGCTGATTTATTTTTACGCGCTTTAAATGAAGGCCAGCGAGTACAAAGGGGACAACTGCATTGTTTTAAACTTTCGAAGGAGAGAACAATTATGCAGTAGCACATATGCTTATTGACAAAAGATTGCACGAGGGCTCTGGGAAGTCGCCTGAGAAACCACGGGGGACGCGACCGTGCAGCGACTCGCACTAACACGAGAAAGGTTTCTGTTGTTATTGTTGTTGTTTTAAACCGCTCTTTCCACACTTCGCTGGGGGGGGGGCGGGAAATGAATTATAATGAACCCTGATTGCACAATCCTGGTTAGGAGGCTGACTTTGACAAGAGAAAACATTCCCGGGGGGAATTCATTATAATCTTCGCTTGTCATGGTATCGCACGCACGCTTATCTTTCTGTGCTACTAAATCAGAGCAAGATTTCCCAATATAATGCATTTACAGGTGTACAGTGGGTCTCTAAGCAAGCAGGCTACATATAATGCCAAAGAGACTTGATGGTGGTTATAAACAGGATCTTTAATTGCATGCAGAGCACATACAGAAAAGGTTCTTACCTAAAATCGTTGCCTATTCTTTTGCCTCTCTCTGGAATCCCAGGGTCTGGACACATATTATGTCCCTGGGACACACCAACCTGAGTTACTACAAAGCAAAAACAGCACATACAGAGAAAGAATAGTACAGAAAACATATTCTTACATCAATCGTCTTGGTGGATGTGGAGAGAAAATGGGCAATTGCTAGTTGGAATGCGTTTCTTTAAAAAAAAAAAAAAAAACTATGGAAACAAGCATAGCTGAAATCATTTCAGCTCAATTTTGGTATCAAAGTGTTTTACTGCTCAGTACAGCTAGTGACATGGCTTTCCCTCATTCCACTACACAAACACCTTTGGAAAAAAGGATTCTTACATTTTGCAAAATTACACCAATTAAAGAGCACATTTCCAAAGCCCGCTATTAAAAAGGCCACCTGTGACATAACAAGGTGAGTGTCTAGCACCCATCAAAACCCATCTGACTGATGCCAGTGAAGGAAAACAACTCAATAAAGGCGGATGTGTGATTAAAAGGGGGGGGGGGGG